AACAACGGATTGCTGTGCCGATAGCCATGAACATTCCGAAGGTGCCTCCGCCCTGAATCATCGATTTGCCCACCGTTTGGACGAGCTCTCGACCACGAAGTCCGAACCTTAAAGAGATAAAACACCAGCGGGTGCAGGTTTAGGAAAGTACACAAACACTCAAGGCACAAGCGGATTCTGTTCGTAACAATAAACGTAAATAGGAAACAATCGAAAGGAGGCATAAATAGCAAAGGAGGAAAACACGATGCATACAGCACCTTTCGAAAGAAAGCTAGTATTCCAGGCAGAAAAAAAAACAATCAATAAGATTCGATGCGACTCGAGTAAGAGACGTCCACTAAATCCTGTAAAAACGAAAGTATCGCCGGACAAGAAGGAACGCTCCGAGACTAACTGTTGTAGGTTAGCAGGGAAACAAAGCCGAATACTTCGGAGCCAAACGGTTAGGGTAAGATGTCAAAAAGGTCTCTACAAAAAAATGACCTGTACGATACATCCATTCAGTCAGTCTCCAGGGCTACTGATGCTTACTGTGCCCAGAAACCAAGAAAAAAATGGATATCCTCCACTTAAATTCCAGAAATGCAATGAGCTGTGTCTAAGAAGCATTCGAAGACAGGTGAAGTTTGCTTGAAGATTAAACCTTCCTAAGCAAAGATGGTCGGCCGAGGCAATGCGATCGCAGATACCTGTTCGACCACGGTAGGCTGCTGGCCAATGGGAAGGGCAGTAATGATATCAACTAGTGGATTTCCCAGACGGGTTAGGCTATTGTCCGGCCTCGGCTAATCCCCCGAAATTGGTGTGATGTCCGTCAAGCTGCGAGCAAGACATGGTCGATGAGTTCAAAGGTAGTAACTGCCCGCATGTATTTCATCAAGTGTCCATGCACCCTACCCTCTGAACGATGGACTATAAAGTTAGCCGAAAAATGTACCCATTAAGCTGACCTTCTTACTCGCCCTGTGCTGACTCGGCTGTAAATAAACATCATCAGAGGTGTCACCGCGCCCGAGCTAGGCGAAAATGTGAGTGACGGTGGTGAATTCGACTGCATCTCTCGCAAAACTATGAGGCTGTGTTTCTGATGCAGGCTGGTCCCCATTAGCAGGGGGAAGGCCTGAAGCGCTGAACGACGTCACACGACAATTGAAGACAACACTCGTTCGTTCTTGTCCATGCACCACGGCACAAGCGTAGGCAATTAGGAACGGAGTGTGAACAGTTTGGCGACCGTGTCAATGCAGTTTATGTCGCGTTCTTAATTTAGCAACGGTTCTCCCTGCTCTTGTTGTATGAAGTAGGCAGATTTCATGTCCTACACAGTCGCGAGTAAACTGAAGTGAGACAGGTGAGCAAGTTTAGATGAATTTTCCCTAGCCCGGACCGCCAGTATGATGCCTTTCCATCAAAGCTAACTTCAACAATTAAGCGAAGGCCACTAAGGGTCCACAGCTGGAAACCTTTTTAGGAACGAGTGGCCAAGATAGGAAAATGGGCCTGAAACAGTTTGCATTCGCTCTTTGGCGCTGCATAAGCGAGTGAAATAAATTCACTGTATCCGCTTCCGCAGATTTCTCGACACAGTACTCGCGCTGCTACGTGTGACGGCTAGTCCACGACATTAAAAACCAATGAGGCAGGTTACTCATTAGCCTAGCTGCTGGCTACCCTGGTGCGTCCACAGGTGGCGAATAGTGGAACAAGCTTCAGTGAAAGTTAGCTGTGAAATAAGCAGAGGCTCGGGTTGGCGAATAAGCAGTCGCGGACCAGCAGCGGCAGTACTTCCAGGGCGCGGCAGACTCAAGTCTGGCAAGCTAAAAGTCCATAATCACAAAGCCTGACGACGACGCTGTGACAGGGTGAGCGTGAACCGCCATCAAATAAGCTCGCTTGCCACCGCTGCCTTGTGGTTAGGCTATTGAGCAAAAGCGCTAGAGGAGACAACCTCGAAAAAACAATTTGTGCGGCTGTTAGGGACCCGTCCGTAATCACAATTCCCAAGACACTTTATGAAAACTAAGCTACGATTCATGATACGGCGTCCACGGGAACCGACGCGCTCCACAACCATTCTTCACTGGTGCGGGTGAGTAGTATGCGAGCTGGAATAATAAATCGAAATCAGGCCCTTGGTATTGGATGTTGAAATGAGCGAACGTTCCTGGCTCCTGGTTTACAAAGCCTGACGGTGCGCAGCCTTTATCAGTACAACGTACAGGTCTGCTGCCTGTCCGAAGTCCGAATTCCTGACTCCTCCAGCAGACAGGGTGGGGCAGTTGTCCTCTCGCAACAAACGAGCCATGCACTACTTGCCTGGTAATCAGTCAATGGATGCATGCCTTATGTGCGCTTGAAGGGCCACTTCAAAAACATATCTGTGGTCGCTGTATATGCACCAACCTCGGCTGCTGACCAAGGCGAAAAGATAGTTTACTCGCAACTACAAACTTTGGTTGAGAGGCTTCCTCGCCATCATC